TCTGTGGCTGTTCAGTGTAGTATATTATGATAGATCTGCTGGTTTTGTGTACAGTCAGTCCTGTCCACCTGCAGTTGACGGAAATGCCTTCTGGGATACTCGAGGGGAAACTTGTTTGGATTTCACAACTGGGTCGATATCTGAATTCCATATTCTAGCAGCTGATTTAGAAGTGCTCTGACTTGGATGGTGTCGCTACAGCATTGAAGAGCCAATGGAATTACTTGTGTTTAGCTTTCCGATTACATTCCAGTACTGAATGGCTACTTATTGTAATAGTAAATGCAACTTTTGTTGACTTTCAAATCATGTTCCACCGTTCCTCTAACTTATGTAGTTCAGGAGATTCTTATCCACTGTATTGTGTAGCAAACAAGTATCACCTGTCTCCTTAGTACTATATGTTTTGATTTTTGCATTAAAATATTTGTTTAAATTAGTGACAGTTTAAACAAAAATTGCTTTTCAATTTTAAAGTACAGTAAAGACTTTCTTGACTGGAATAAGCAGTATCATGGTCAGATGAATCTTCTAACCAGTGGATAAGTATCCTAAAGTGTTTTGTTGTTCTCCTCCAGTTCCTTGACTTTCTTTATGATTTGGAGTAATGGATTTCAGCATATCATCCTCTGTTTTCTAAAATACAGACAAAATTCTGATCTACTTTTAGAGCACTTTGAGATCTATGAATACAAAATTTGTAAGTGCCTAAGGATGTTATTAGCCTAAGTAGAATAATAGTAGTATAGCTTGCACTGATGACCAAAGCCATAATGAAAATGAATAGCAAAAATAGCTTTCAGTTGGTGCAGATCTATTTATCTATTTCATAATCTATTACTTATTTGTGTAATTAGTTAGTTTTGATAGACTATATCTGTTTCTTAGATTTAAGGAGTGATTACTATATAAGTGCTCACTCATTATGGTCCACTCAGTTTCATGTAAACGCATAGCTTTGTAAGAAAAGAGAGAATTCCTCTTTTACTATTAATATTTTTACATAGTAGCACACAATTGCTGTAACACTGTTGTCTAGGGACATTCTTTGTGCTAGGTACTACAGTTTGAGGAGAAAATAGCATCACTTCTTCTGAAGTTTTCCCTTAAATTTAAGCCCTGCCAGTTCTTCTTGACTTCCTCCCCGTCTCCCTTCATATAGTGCAACTGGAGCAGAAAGAAAATGCCTCTTTTCATGTTGGTTCAGATGTTTCGATTGCTGTGTAACAAGAACTTTCATTAATCAAGTTTAAAAATCAGTATTTTTCTGGAAAGTTATTTCTTCATTTTTAGCCCCATTCTGGTGGAAGTAATTACCGGTTTTCTTATTTGACCAGTTAACTTTGTGTCATTTAGCATTAAAATTTGGTGCATTTTCCACTGTAATCAACAATACTATTTAACATTGAGAATTCTTATTTTTATCATCCTTACTCTGCCCTTTGACGATACTGCCTGAAGGACGAGGTCTCATCAACAGCTCCTACATCTAAAGACACAAAAACTGCTTTGTTTTTGTTTCCTTCTACAGCAGTTTTGTAACTACAAGCTTGTAAGGTGCCATGGCAGAGAAGTTTTCCTCTTGTGCTGTGTAACCTTGAACAGGCTTTCTTCCGAGCATCTTCTCCTTGTACCTCTGGCTTCCTGAGTGCTGTTACTGTAAACTCCTTTCACCCATGCCAAACTGAGGAGAAGCTCACGCTCACTTTGGCTACTGTGCCTAAGGATGGGGTAGTAGCATATCCAGTAACATTCCTACGATGCTTTTGAAACTGAATGCAATATAGACAAAACCGTTATATATTTGGGAAGAATGACATTTATCAGAGCTTTCATTTGGCATAACAATACAGTGTTAATTCAGGAACATGAATTTAAATATTTGTTCCATTTTGTTGAATAATCTACAACTGCTATTTACTCTCTGTACAGATTCTAGCCTGAGAAATTGGCTAGTACTGACACCCCCCCCCAGCATATCAAGATCCTTTCAGCTTTGCTTACAAGAAAAGTTGAAAACGTGCATTTCCATTGCTGTAGTTTTCAGCCTACATACTAAGTTTGCTCAGCCCCTTTTTTTTAAGTGCTTCATTCTCCAATTTTCAACAAATAATGTAAGAGAGAGGAGAGTAACTTAAATATCCATCATGATGCTATTCATGCTTAAATGCATGAGTCTAAATCTTTTTTTCTTTTTTTCCTCCCAGCACAGAAGTGTATGTTATAAAGACTTGTCCAAAAACTTCTGCTTGAAAACTTAGCATTGCATGCAATGCTTCATTAAAACTAATTTGTAACCTTCTCTGTTCTGTTTGAATAGACTGGTGTATGGACCACACTTGCCAAGATTGAGCAAAATTTTTTAAAACCACTGCATGTAGGACTCAATATGTCAAAAGCGCACTATGAAGCAGAAATAAAGAATAAGAAAGAAAACAGAAGAGGTTAGTTGTTTTCTTTTTTTCTTAGCTTTGTTCATATTTAGAAACTTTGGAAATAAAGAATTGGTGAGTGCTGTGTAGATCATGTTTTATTTAACTGTTAACAATATTCTGAATTTCAAATAATGTAGTAGTTGCTGTATTTGATATTAATAATTACCGTAATTGGTCAGAAAAATCTGAACTTGTTTTGGCTCTCATCACATTTGTAAACCTTATGGAAGCCTGATAGAAATGTCACATGAAGACCTTCAAAGCTTATTCTGCATTCATACTTTTGATTTTAAGGTTAGACAGGAGCATCTAAGTCTCTCTGAATATATAGCCCTTGGTTTTCATACTAGGTGTGTGGGGAGGTTAACAAGAGAAGAAATAATTCACACAGCAAATTGGTGCTCTCTTAAAGCCTGAAGGATTACATTCTGGATTTTTTTTTTTTAATTTATTTTTAATTTGACACACAGAATCAGATTCTGCTCTGGGTTAAGCAGACACATTCCACAGGGCATAAGAACTGTAGCTGCTTTAGGTGATCTCTGTGTATGTCAGATCCTCTGCTCCTTTGTGGTCTCCAGTATAATTAATGCAGCCCAAGGAACTTGCTTCTGCTACTAAAAATGTCAGTACAGCTTTTTGCCGCTAGTCTTACCCTCTTCTGTTGTTGTAAACTATAAAAGCACGAGGCAGAGAAGGGGGATTTTTCTGAAGGCAACCTGTGAGTATCTTTCTAAAGGGAATCCTTTAAAATGAATGAGGAAGCTTTTTCTTTAAGTCCCTCTTAGATTTCTCTAGCCTCTGACAAAGCATAAAGAGATTTGAGTTTGGGAGAGAATATCTAACTTGCAACAGTAAATCATTTAGCCTTTTCCCCCAATGTATAATCTTTGCAAGCATTATGTTGAATTTCAGATATGTGGTCTGAATGTAAGGGGGCTTTCCCCTTAGTTTTCAGACTTGTCCTTGTAGTTTTGCCTGCTGCAAGTAATCTGCCTGAAATCGAAGCCTGCAGCCTTTTCTTAATAAAATAAGTATTTAATGTCTAGATTCATTAAGTCAAGCTAAAGAACCTCTTACTATCTCTCTAGATGTGGAATACTAAAAATGTATCAAAAATGACCAGATGTAGTAATTTTTTTCCTTTTAAGGAGCATTTTAGCTATATAAAATGGTTTTGAGTTGCTGATACTGCCTGTTTAGTAATGTAGTCTACATGTTATAGGAAGTATAGAGATAGCATCCAGCTCCAACTGTCTTCATCTTAAGGTTCAGCACCTTCTGTCCTGTGTTTGGTCAATCCCTACGTTTGTGGTTTTTAACAATTACTGTCTAGAAATGCTAATGTATTAAATCTCCTTTCCATTCTAAAAGTTACGTGAAACAGCAGCCTGATCTCAGGTTGGTTATTTTCTTCTACAGAGACACAAAGTCCTAACACAGTTTGTTCAGTATCTGTTAGTGGGGAAAAGATGCCTGCCATGACTACTGAAATGCAGCTTCAGGTGAGTTTGCATTTCCTTCAAAGTTATTCAGAAGTATTGAAATTTTCTTTTCAATCCAGAGACAAATGTACATGTACAGTGGGTAAAAAAAAAAATAAAAATTAACATTAATCTTTTGTCATTTCAGGTTTTACACTCGGCTCTCTTCACATTTGATTTAATAGAAAGTGTTCTAGCTCGAGTAGAAGAACTCATTGAAGTGAAAATAAAAGCTGTAATGGATGAAAATAGTTAGGTCAGCTGAAGTATTTGAATTAACATACTACTTACAAGACCATTTAGAACATGACACTTTAGTTGAAAAGGAGGCTACCAGCCTTTAAAGAAGAGCAATTTAGAGTGGCCTCTAGAAGAACTGCAATTGCTGCTCTTAAGTCTTGTTCCTGTTCTATTTTCTTTTGTTATTGTTGTATGTGATTACAGAGATGGCCTATTTGCTCAAGTACTCCTCTTCAGAATTTGATGCTTTTTCTTAGGTTTAGAAACTAAAAACAAGGGACTTTTTTTGGTTTTATGCTGTGGCAAGGAGGTATGGCTGTGCATTTATTTTTCTGTTAATTTTCAAAATGTGTTAAATAACAGCTGACTAGTGTTGTGAATTACAAAGATTTTTATAAAGTGACTGCAGAACCATTAATTAAAAACCACTGTTTAAGCACCAGGTATTTTTATTAGCAGCTTTTAATGTTGACAAACTAAGGTATAGACAGAGAGTAGTAGAATCACTATGGCAAAGCAAACCAGGTTTAAAGAAAAACACATCAACCTTGAGCCAAGATATTAAAACTTAGTAACACAACAGGTAACACGTGTGTTTAAAAAAGTCACTGTGTAAGATTTCATACATATACCTCTTTATGCATGGCAAACCTGTATTTTGGAATTGTTTTGATCATCCTTATCTTTAATGATAAAGTTTTCCTTAACATATATTAAATATTTTGGGAAATTATTATAAACAGATGAGCTCATAAGTTCAGGATCAAGTTAAAAATCAGGATGATTTTAGTATAGTGCAGTTAAACCACTTTTTTTTTTTCCCTTAGAATGCACGTTTGGTATAATGTATGCTATTTTTCACTGTATAGTTATTTAATATAAATTTTCATTCCAGATGCGTAAGTTGTATATAGTCTTTTGAAACATAACTGTATATTTAAGAACATTCTATATTTTGTTTAAAATGTAGCCACTCTATTTATGAATAAAAAACCCAAATACTAATTTAGTTACAATACAACTGGTACTCCTGAAGCATCTTCCAAACCGGACTGTTTTCTATTATTTGGGCTTTTGTCATTGCCATTTTGTAACGAATATCATCTGCTTGTGGCTTGGAAGTGATCTTAGAGGAAAGAAAAATATTATTAGTAGGAGATGGTAACTCTTAGGTAATAGAATATTCAATATCTTATTTTTCAAATAGTACAAATGTAAAATTATTCAGCAGTGAAATCTGAATCATGTTTTCTGAAGTAGATACTCGGGAATGAGGTACACAGAGGTGATTTGATGTATCCCTTTAGGTGCAAGACCAGTCGCAAAATAACCAGTCCTGTCAGCATTGCATCTGATTATCTGGATAGTATTTTAACAGGAGTTGGGTATGGTAGCTCCGGACTAGTTGGATGGTATCTCTCCCTTGGTCATGTCTGTTAACCCGCGGGCAAAAAAGTTCATGTTTTTTAGGCCCCATGCCAGTTAGGGATTTTCTGGCAAAAGATGAGGTCGTCAAACTGGCTTTGCACTGCATCAGTAAGAAATAATGTAATGGCAGCCAATAGATTTGTGGTATCAGCACTTCTTATAGGGCTGTGCTGTTGAAGTTTGGGGTAAACATTCTGAACAAGTAGAAAGCAAATTCAAGTTTATAGGATTGGCAGTAATCTTAAAAGCTTTTAGGTTAATGCTGTATTAAGAGACTCGGCCAGACATCAGTAGGTTCCATAAAAAGTTTAAGTACAGTGTTCAATGTTGTAATAAGTATTTAACAACTTTTGCCATATAATAAGTGAGATGTAGCTTACGCACTTTTAGAACGATACATACTCTGAATAGGTTAATGGTTATTATTTTGAGATGCCTATTTCAGGAAGGGATGAAATGTAAATTCATATTCGATTCCTAACATGTCATTCAACATGCACTTTTTATTTTTGGTACATGGGATGCTGCTAGTACTGTTATAGTTAGTATCTAAAGTTAGAATTTTCATGGAAAAATGTTCTTTAAAGAGGTTCAGTAAATAGATTTAATTAATAATGTGTTGATGCATACACGATACACTCACTAAGCTGTAGAAATAATATACTAGTATGTGCATCATTAAAAATCCAAAGTAACTAGAGTTTTCAGATTGGCATTTCTCTTTTAAGTTGATTTCATTACATATTTAGATCCCATGCTGGTTCTGGACTAGTAAATGAAGTGAAGCCATCCTAACTTAACAGTGGTAAATAAGAGCCCAGTTAGCTCTTGGATATCTAACTTGTCTTCATAGATGCTATTAACAGCTTTTAAAGTTACCTTTAACAATAGTTTAAAGACTCCGCTAAAGCATCACAGTAACAGTCCTACCTCAATCTATTACATGGATAGTGGTCAGTATGACCCAAAAAGTTCCATTAAGGAAAAATAAATATTTTATAGTTCTTGGCTTTTCCTGGCTAGTGTACTTCTGAAGAACTAGTGTTTTAAAGTATATGTAACCAGACTTACCTTAGCTATAGTTAGCATTAACTTAACAGTTTCAGCAGTATTATGAACTGGTACGATACGTAAATTACTACCCAGGAATCTGCACATCAAAATAAATTAAGGTTACTTTTAGAATGCACATTTAATTTGTTATGCCATGAAACTCAAAAAGCCTTCCCATATGATGTAAATTACTTCTTACTGTGCCTTCACCACTAGTACACAGAAGATTGCTTTTGTCTTTAAAGGCAACTGGAGAGTTCCTGCTGTTTGTATGGCCATCTGTCCTAGTTCTGTACCACTTGTTTAGGAGGGGTTTGGAGGGGCTCATTTCTTTCTCTAGGGCTCTTTCACAATCAATCAACACTTCTTGAGCATGTGTACATTCAGAGAGAACTAAACCCTCTTGTCTTACATTGTTGAAGACTGTCCCTTCTCAGTGCCAGTAAAAAAATGTTTGGGTTTTTTTATGGCTTTGGAAGACAACAGGGAAGTATCTAAAAACACTGTGCTAAAAACAGTTCAGAATTTGAACTAAATCTTAGTAGTGTGCTATCTAAATATAGCAATCTGTACATCAGATGCAATTAAGATAATGGGATAATTCTGCTAAGAATTTCATGCAAAGACTTGTTCATTCAAATAATTTAACCTAAAATTCATTCTCTTTCTATAATGTTATTCATATGCATGCATTCTTGAGAATGGAATCAGAAGATTTAAAATACTAGCATCAGTTGTCGTTCAATGCAGTCAGGGAAGAGATCAAAGCTTAGGCAAGCACAGAGGCTCTCCTTAAGACTTGTATCTAAAGTGTGTTGTAACAATGACAGGAAAGTTAGCATTGCTGCTGTTTTCTGTTGTAGAGCTAAAACATGACAGGGAGTTAACAACAAAGAATGAGGAATTTTAAATAATCAAAAATTTAATCCAAACAAAATGCCCAGCTGCTCAGTTGCATACTCCCCTGTGACCTCCCCTTGTGACGACCACCTGTTCTTCCTCGCAATCTGTTTGATTACTTGGCCTCATTCACATTAAGGCCCATGCTGCTGAGATACCTGATCTGAACTTGGCTGCCCAGTCTTCTCATAAGCAAAAATAAATATTACAGGCAATGTCATTCCCTAAGAGCAGGTACTCGGGTCACTGCCAACTTTGCTAAAATCTGATGCAGAAACTCTGGTTTGATTTATATTTAGGGATTAGGGAATTTGCTAATGCTAGCAATGGGCTAAGCAAAGCATGAATGCACAACAACTGCAACAAAGAAACAATTACATGTACTTACTTGGATCTATGAAAATCCATTTCTACCAATAGTTTGCTTCCAATTACAGCAGGTCTAAATTTAGTTTGTATTTTATTAATTTGATCAGTGGGTAGAATACTGACCATTAGAACACATGGCTGGTCTTTGCTCCAAGGTGTTTAAAAATTAACATACAGGTCTACTGAGGATATTAGTGGAATGCTTATTTGAGCTGTGATGATAAAGATTGCTTTTCTCCCACTGCCCCCATGATACACACAACCCTACATAAAGTATTCACGTTGCTGAACAACAATCCTATAATGTTAAGAATAATAAAAACATCCTTCCCCAATTGCAATAAAACCACAGATAAACAGAAAGAAACAGTAATACAGAAAGACCTGAAAATATCAGGGGACTTTGTTTTTTAACAAATCCAACAGGTGACAGAGAATATGGCACAAGTTTCAACCCCACCAATGCAAAAGCTCAGTCAGTGATTTACATATGATAGCAGAACTCCAAGCTGCCAGGTAGTAAAAAAGCACATGCATCTAAAATACACTTGTGCCTTGTCAACATCAATTTGGTATGGCCTGCAATGACAAAACTATTATTTTTAATAAAATTACTGACTTGTCAAATGGAATACATTTTCAAAATGTCACATTTTTTAGTGATCAACATATGCACGAAATCCATTGTAGGTAACCACAAAGTAGATTGAGAATTAGCATTGCCATCAGCCGAACAACATGTTCTTGCTGAATGGTGGCAGAGCTTTTCAGACCTCTCATGAAAATTCATGGAATTTTCACAAATGGGTAATAGATTTCCTACATTTCATCCCATACACTCCGCTACTCATCAGCATTTGGCAGTGCGCCCAGGATTTAACGAAACTGGTGCTGGTTTCGAGGAGGTAAAGATCAAAGACTCCATTAGAATAGTCACTTCTTTGATGTCAAGAGTGAAAATCAACTGCAGTTAGGCCTACTGTACCTACCAGAAAATAGTTTTGACTACAAGTATGAAGCACAGTCTGATAACTGTTGTCAGCAGGTATGTACTAAAACATGCACGTTTTCAGGCTTCATCAGAAATCACAGACAGTTTTAAACAAACCAGTTTTAATGTCCAGTTTTATACTTTTGGTGTAAAATAACACTCATTATTTCAATTGTTCTAGCTCGGTATCATAGACACTGTTTCAACTAAGCAGATTTTAAAAGCTGGTAAAGAATCTGTACTTTACAATAAAGCCTCTTCTCATGAAGGAAACTTGCCTGTTCTGTTTTGAAAATGACCATGAAAAGATGTCGACAGAGCTAAGAAAATTGCTTAATTTTCCAGTTCAAGAGAAAACTTTAGAAAGAATTGTATTACATAGCCCTAAAGTGATTGAAAGGGATGTTATTTGCTGTTTTGAGGAACATCCTCTTTTGTTACCTATGACATGTCAGATTGATTCACTTAGTATTCTTTTCATTTGCCATTAATAAACATATGCTTTAAATAATTTTCCAATGTGCTAGCAAAATAAAATTCATATTCCTGAAAAGAATTCCTAAAATAATATACCTGAATCTAGGACTGCTACTTCATTTCTTCTGAGCAATAAAAAGTTTGGTTTGATGTTGAAATCATACCTTCTCTGAATCCTAAACATGACATTCCATTCTTCTGGTCCATGAAGAGCAGCTGACAAAACCAAAAAGCTGTTCCGATGAATATTTATGAACTTCTGAATTCTTTTGGAAAACTGTTCTTCCCCTGTCATAAGCAACTCTTGAGTGTCTGACAGTATAAATGCAACACCTATTGAAGACATTGATGTAAATGTACATGTCATGGCAGTAATGTGATGAAGTTCTCACCACAAACCAGGAAGCTGAATTCTTTTTCAACCATTAGTTTAAAAGGTGATGGAACAAAACACATGAATTAATTTACATATCTTGACACTGAAATGCAATCATGAGATTTGGCCAGTGATGACTAGTAAATTTAAGATAAAACTACAAATAGCTCGGAGGTTATTTTCTACCATAACATCAAAAAAAAGCCCAGCTGTTCACACTCAAAAGTACAGATACCTGAATGCCTTTGAAAGCACGTGCTTCAGGAACAAGCAACTGCTATAATGGAATGAATTTAGAGCAAATGCAGACTGATTGAAGAGCTCAGCAAGTACCGTTTCTAAATAAGATAAACACACCTGTAACATCTTAAAAATTAGCTAAACTATCTACCATGAAAAATGAAATTGTAACCCCGTAAACTAAGTTATTCTGAAAGGGAAAGTTAAGAAGGCTGAAGTTTAGGAGACTTAGCAATAGAGGCTACAAAATACTAGGCCAATGTGTGCCTTGTTAGTCCTTATAGTTGAGGAAAACTTCAGATAAAGGATCTTGTCTACCTATCTAAAGTGCTGCTCTAAAAAGGAAGGATAGATATTTTGTTTGCAGTTACAGTGATTTCCTAATCAAACCTGGTCAAAGATTCCTTTCCCTAACTCCTCTGCTACCACCAGGTCTGCAAACTCAACTTGGAAGATGAAAGCCAAGGGCCTTGGTTCACTCTTGTGTTTACAGCCATGAATACTAAAGATCATGATGGCTGTCTTACATGGTAGTGGCACGCAACGTGTTTGCTCAGTTATAACCATAAGAACAATTTACTAAAAGTTCAGCTGATGATCACCAAATCTAATGTAGCTGTTCTACAATATGCCGCAAAAAAAGTAGAAAACCAATGAAAATGTTTCATCCTCAAAGTTCTCTGCTCTATCCTCTGATTTAAATGCCATTACAGCACAGCTCCTTCCACTATGGCACGACATTCCAACAAGGCAGCGTTCAGTCAGTTCACTGTAGCCTACAACAGGGCCTGATCTTGTACTGCATTAGAGTTTATGAGTCTAAAAGCATAAACTTCAAAGTACTGTACCAGAAAGAGAAAAAATCACGGATCCAATCTCCACCGATTCTGAATATCGAACTCGGTGTTGTTGCCTCTGTAGAATTGTAGAAATTTCATGATTCTAAATAAATTTTAAAAGGTTATTTTTAAAATAATTTTTCAGCCAACAAGTTAATGACAGAAATATTCTTAAAACATTGCCTAAACCATTATAGATAGAACTTTAGCATCATTTAAAAATATTTTTTATTCCACTTGAGATAAAAAAGTAGTAAAATGTTAATTAAACTTTTTCAGTTAATGAAATTTTGAAATATTTGCATTGGAAGTTATCAAACATTGAATGACAATTTTGGACGCATACATTCTGTTTGCCTCAGGAAACTCTTGCATAATACATAAAGAAGCTCAAACATTTTACAGTTTTTTTTTGTAAGATGTGCTAAAGGAGGATTTGCAGAAGTGAGGAACATACAGTAGTGTGTTTCTATGACTCCGGTTAATTAGACTGCATTATTTTCACAGATGTCAGCATTTCATTTGGAAGATAGTTCAGAAAATCTGTATGGGGCATGATTTTCTTTAAAGCTTTTTGACAGAATCCAATTACTCAGAAAAACTAGAATATTGCACTATGCAACATAATCATCTACAGAATAGAGGGGGTTTGGACATACTTTTCAGCATGCAAAAAGCATTTCTGCAGTATGTTCTACAGAAGGTGCTCAAACACACACATTTTAAAGATTAAATTACTGAACCCTTTTTAGCTAAAAACATGTTGTTTAACCTACCATTTAAAATGTAGCCAACCTGCCTATGTAGGGAAGTGTTGTGATTTAGTGGAAGAGTACAAAATAAAGTCAGGGTAGCAAATGAACGCTGAAGGAGACAGGAACCAGAAATGTTATGCTTTCAGTTGGCCTGGAAAGGGAACACTCAATGACAGCTGCTTATGAGATACAACTACAATTTTGGAAAAACTCTCTGCTTCAAAGCCACTGCTAACAGTGAATTATTTAATGCACAAATATAAGTTACAGCTGTGAGAAAAGGATAGCTGCACAGGGAAAAGAGAAAGCTCATGACCAGAACTGATATAAAGCACTACATTTGTAAAAGAAAAGCCATCTTAGATTTGTATTTGGCTGTTTCCATATCTTTGCTCACTGGGGAGTCCTTACTAACAGCAGTAGTTTTGAGTAGAGCTGGGGCTCTTATTAATAGGAGCAAGTTATGCTGGTGTAGCTGGTGAGATCACTGCCCTCCAATACCTCTCACCATATTATGGATTAAGTTGCTCTTGAAGCAGTTCTCAAACTGAAACAGCTTGCAGGTTGTCATTCCAAGACAAGCAGGCAAATAAGAACAGGCTTTAAACTGAGGTGATTTGGGAATTTCTTCAACATCATTCACCCATTTATACAGCAGAGATGGGGTGATAACCTTGTCAGCCAAGCTAGCATAAGATACCCTTACTTGTGAATCAAAGCCCTCTTGCCTTTAAATTCTTTCCAGCTGGCATGAAATTGGCCTCAGCTGCAGAAACTAATTACCAGCTCCTTGACATACCCTTTCACTTCACTGAGGAACACAGCCTAGGCTTCTGATATTAACAGATATAAATATATGTTGATGTCTGTAAGACTCACTATTTTAAACTCAATTGCACATTTACTGAGTAATAGTCAGCTCCAATATCAAACCCAATGTTGATACTGTATAGTAGAACATAAAGGGTTTAGGGAGAAATTCAGAAAATTAAAAACAGTTCTGATGGAATTATTTGTAGTGCTAATTGAAAGCAGCATGAATGCTGTGCAAAAATGATGAGTCAGGAGGACAATCCTAAAGCAGTGTAACTCAGAATAGCAGGTGGCAAGAATACTAAATAGGTACAGACATAGCTAGGAGAAAAAACACACACACAAAAAGACCCAGTACCACAGTAGAAACAACTTCAGACTACTATCATTGTTTTATCCTCAAAAAACTATATTAATTGAGATTGCATAAAATATTTCCACGTATAGAATATAGGAAATGCCTCTTTAGTTTTTCTTAGTGAATCAGATGCTGCTTTTGACAAGTAGTATTGTACCTGCAGAGCTGTACTCATAATAACTGTTGTTATCCATCTTGACTGTTCCTGCCCACCACTTTCTGACATTTTTTTCCAAGGGTTTAACGGCTCTGCAGTGAAATCTCAGGTGCCACCTTCTGAAAAGCTTGGAAAAAGAAAGATGACAAATATTACCTGCCAATTAAAGAGGTGAAATGTTTAAGGGACATGGATCCATTAAAGATCTGATTAAAAATGAGGGCACTGCCCTGTTCTCTAAAATGTATACCCACTACCACTGAACTAATTTTAAGATTGCAAAGAATGTGCATCTCAAAGCTTCCTCTAAAAGGCATAACAGGGAGAGCAGCATAATGATAAATGACTCCAGAAAAACATTCCTAAAAGCACTTAGAATGGCTAAGGAACATTTGCCCAATTTTCAAAGGCCACACTTTTCACTGTGCACCTTTAACACAAAGATACTCCTTAGAAGACTGCCCCAGGCCCCCTGCCCAGCCTAAAGCAGCACACCATGCCACAGGCCAGAGCACTAGCTCTTTTCATGTACATTTGCATTTCACTCTTCTGAAAATATTCCTGGATATCTAGCTTGGCAGGCAGTTTTATTTCAGTAAGGCTCATGTGGTGCAGCTGGGGACACTGAAGCTCCCTGCCAAGAGCCTGAGGCAGCATGGAGGCCGGGCCTTGCCTCACACCCCTGAGGCACCCGCCTGGGGCGAGGTGGCACAGCACACCGCCCCGGGGGTTCAGGAGAGCTGGTTTCCCAAATCCTTTGTGTCAGTTGGTTCCCCATATAAGTTTTAACCGGGCCTATCCCCGTTTTAAAAACCTGGTAAGGCCCTAAAATGAAATCCCCGTGGCTTCACAGGGCTGCCCTAATGCCGGGGCAACC